AAAAGGACACCCTCGCCCACCCACTCCCCTCTCCAGGTCCGTCCCTACAGCCCCCTCACCCCCAACCCTGCACCTTTACCCTCCCACCCCACCCCCTCACTTTTCCCTCCCTGACCCCCTGCCCTGCTGCTCCCCACTCTGCCCCCCGGCCCTGGGGCCTCCTCACCCAACTAGGTCAACCCGACACTCCACACCCGAGCCCCAAGCCCCCTTCTGCCCAGCACGGCCCACACGGGACCCCTCCACCCACAGCTCCTGTCCTTCGTCTCTGGCCCGACCGGCCCCATGCCCACCTGACACCCATCCTCCCCTTGTCCTTCCCAGTGCAGCCCGGACCCCTCTGCCCCCAGGGGCATCCACGTGACCCTGGTATTCACTGTGAGATGCCCTGGGGTCCAAGGGCAGGGCTTCCCGAGTGCGGTTCACTCTCTGCCCATCCCGGGACACAGATGCAGTGTCTGGGATGAGCAGCCCCTTTGCCCACCAGCTAAGGACAGCAGAGAAGAATTCAGACACATCCTTGGTCCTGCTGAAGAATCGATGCTTTTCAGCTGTGGTGTTGAGAAGACTCTTGGAATCCCTCAGACTGCAAGGAGATCCAACCAGCACATCCTCAGGGAAATCTGAAGGACTGATGCTGAAGCTCTAATACTTTGTCCTCTTGATGTGAAGAACTGACTCATTGGAAAAGACCTTAATGCTGGGAAAGATTGAAGGCAGGAGGAGAAGGGACGACAGAGGATGAGATGGTTGAGTGGGATCACCGACTCAATGGACATGAGTTTCAGTAACCTCCAGGAGACGGTGATGGACAGGGAAGCCTGGAAAGCTGCAGTCCATGGGGTCACAGAGTCAGACATGACTGAAGCATCTGAGCAGCATATATATATATATATATATATATATATATATATATATATATAGAGAGAGAGAGAGAGAGAGAGAGAGTGTTATAAGAAAATATATTATCTTCAATAGTCTATATTATTCCTATTGAATATATATGCATATGTGCATATATACACATATATTTCATATTCAATATGTATAATATTGTTCAGTTGCTAAGTTTTGTCCAGCTCTTTGTGACCCTGTGGACTGTAGCCCACCAAGCTCCCCTGTCCTTCACTATCTCCCAAACCCAACTCAAATTCATGTCCATTGAGTCAGTGATGCTCTCTAACCATCTCATCCTCTTATGCCCCTTTTGCTTTTTGCCTTCTATCTTTCCCAGCATCTGAGTCTTTTTGAATACGCCAACTCTCGGCATTAGGGGCACAAAGTAGGGGAGCTTCAGCATCAGTCCTTCTAATGAATAATCTGGGTTGATCTCCTTTAGGATGGACTGGTTTGATTTCCTTGAAGTCCAAGGGACTCTCAAGAGTCTTGTCCAGCTCCATAGTTCAAAAGCATCAATTCTTCAACACTCAGCCTTTTTTGTAGTCCAACTCTCACATCTGTACATGACTACAGGAAAAGTCATAGCTTTGACTACATGGAACTTTTGGCAAAGTGGTGTCTGCTTTTTAATATGTTAAGTCTGCCATAGCTTTCCTTCCAAGGAGCAAATGTCTTTTCATTTCATGGCTGCAGTCACTGTCTGCAGTGATTTTGGAGCCCAGGAAAATAAAATCTGTCACTGTTTCCACTTTTTCCCTTTTATTTGCCATGAATTGATCCTACCAAATGCCATGATCTTAGTTTTTTGAATGTTGGATTTCAAGCAGGTTTTTCATTCTCCTTTTTACCATCATGAAGAGACTCTAGTTCTGCCTCACTTTCTGCCATTAAAGTGGTATCATCTGCGTATCTGAGGTTGATATTTGGCCAGAAATCTTGATTCTGAAAGGTTGTTGCTGAGCCAAGAAAAGACGCCGGGATTCTTGGCCTCTGGAGAAGAAGAATTCAATCCGGGGTCAAGGGCGAGGCTTGATTGCTCAGAGCTTTGGTGTAATAAAGTTTTATTAAAGTGTAAAGGAGATAGAGAAAGCTTCTGACATAGACAGAAGGGGGCAGAAAGAATACCCGCCTCTAGTTTTTTGCTGGATGTTATACAGTTACTAGCAGTCTGTTAATGAAAGAAAGGCATGTCTTCAAACTCAGAGAATGGCACCAGGCCCCTCACCTTTAAATGTATTTGGGGATAATCTTGGCACCAGATGAGTCATTCTGGGCCATAAAATGATTGACTTGAATCTTGTATATAGGCAGATTACCATACAAGTAGTTTCTTTTACATAGATTAGGGGAACAATATCTGAGTATAACATACTGGTTTGTCAAGTTGGTTCTGAGCCTTTAGGCAGAACCGACTTGAAGACAGAGTTTGGGGTAAATGCATAGTAGATTAACATAGCTTAAGGCAAATAATTCCATAAGAGAAATGTGTTAGTTAACTCAAGCTTTGAGAAAAGTTAAGTTCAGGTGGAACCAGGTGTCATTATGGCAACACAGTATTAAGAGAAGCCTTTTTTTAATTTTGTATAGAGAAGGGGAAAAAAATAAATATACCACTAGTTTCTTTCCTCCTGCCATAGAGAGATTAAAAAGTGTCTGACACTTGCAGCCTGTTTTCTCCATTTGGAGACCCCTGGCCTTCCTGGCTGTTACCATCTCATTCCTCACTTTTGTTTTAGGAGAATTGTGTTGCCTAGGGAAAGGGGCATCGTTTTAGTTTCCTAACTGCTTCTGAGCTGACAAGGGGCATTGTCCCTAAATTGGTGAGGCTACATATTCTCCTAACCCTCCTACCTAGAGTTTCTGATCCAGGGGCCCCATGTAGCTGGAGATAACTGCAACAGTAGCAGGAGATTGAGCAACCATTTTAGGGCTGTTAGATGTCATCAGATGAAGAAGAGGTATCACATAAGAGTGTTGTCAAAGTTATTTGCAGACTTGGAGAAAGTCTTTTCCTTGAAGTGGAGATGTCCACCATGGGAAGCCTTCCACGGATGAGGAGAGGAGAGTGCTCCGCAGACCCAGCAGTTAGACAGATTGTGGATTGCAGCGTAGGAATACGCCAGGACAGGAAGGCATTGTCCTGAGGATCACACGGCAAACTGGGGATTTTTGGAGTCAGCAGAAGCAGGCTCACATAGATTGTCAGGCCCATCTGAAAAGTCCAAAGTCAGAGCATAGAAAGTAAAGACATAAAATGACATCACTTAGTTCTGGTCAGGGTGCCACCTCTTCACTCGAGTGTGATGTACCCACGAATCAATTCCTGGCACTTTGACGACTGTGGGAGAAGAAAGAAACCAGATAAGCACCTTCCCAGAGGGGCTCGAGGGATGGGCCCCCAGAATCCAATGTTTTTATCAAGACCTCGGTTCCCGGCTCAAATAGAGGCTTGCTTGACTCAGAGGCTGGGTCAGGAGTCATCTCCCGGAGTTCTGTTAATGCCTGTTGAAAAGCTGAGAGCTGAGATACATAATTATTTAATTCCAAAGCTTCAGGGTCTATAACAATGTCTGTGCATAAGAAAGGCCTTCCATAAGTACATCCAAAGGGGGACAGTTCCTCCTTTTTGGGGGCAGTTCAAGCCCTCATTAAAGCTATGGATAGGACTTTTGTTCAACTGCCCTGTGTCTCTTGAGTTAATTTGCACAGATGTCTTTTCATAATGTCATTAGCCTTGTCGACCTTTCCTGAGGATTGGGGTCTCCAGGAGCAGTGTAAGTGATATTCTATTCCTAGAGCTTTAGATGCCCCCTGAGTTACAGCAGCTTTAAAGGTGGAGCCGTTGTCACTCTGAAGGCTCCGTGGCAGCCCAAACCTGGGGATGATTTCATGGATTAAAATCCTTACAACCTTTCTAGGCTGTTCACTATGACAGGGAAAAGCCTCAATCCATCCAGTAAAAGTATCCACCCAAACTTGTAAGCAGTAATATCCATTAGCTTTCAGCATATGAGTAAAATCAAGTTCCCAGTCCTCCCCAAGATACTTTCTACTTTGTTGTAATCCAGATTTTGCTAGCATTTCAGTCTTTGGGTTATTTTTCTGACAGGCCTCACATCTTTTTATAATACTCTTTAAAGTTTTCATTACATTTCTACCTTCAAACAAATGAGAAGCCATCTGGTTAGTATTCTGCAGCTAAATGAAAACTGGTGTCACCACTTAAGGATTTTCCATTGAGCATTCTCGGGAATTATTAAGCATCTATCCTCAGACTGTAACCACCCTTTATCAGCAATCTTTGCTCCTCTTTTCTCATATCTTTCTCATTCTCTCTCAGTATATGATGGCTTTTCCTGTTCCACAGGACCTGTCCAGATCAAAAGTGTCTGCAGTGAAGGCAATTCCTAAAGTGCCGCTTTTCTGGCTTGGCAACCAGTCAACTGATTACCCTTGGCTACTTGACTCCCATCCTTGCTTTCCCCTTTGCAATGCATAACAGCTACTTCTTTAGGACAATATATGGCAGTTAAAAGTCTCCTGATCACTCTGAAATGCTTAATCGGTTCTCCTGTGGGTGTTTTAACCTGTCTTTCTTTCCATATTGCAGCATGAGCACGTAAAGTCCAACGCGCACACCTAGAATCAGTGTAGATATTTACTCGCTGCCCTTTGCTTAACTCTACAGCTCGGGTCAGAGCCACAAGCTCTGCTAACTGGGCACTGGTTCCCTGGGGGAGAGAGTTTGCTTCTAAAACCTGTTCAGCAGTCCCCATGGCATGACCTGCTTTACGTTTTCCATCCTGAACAAAAGAACTTCCATCTGTAAATTTTTCCATGTCAGGATTGTCCAATGAGGTATCCCTCAGATCTTCCCGAGCTGCATAGCTTAAAGTTTGGAACTGGCAACAATCGTGATCAGGTGTTTCATTTTCCTCCTCAGGAAGGAAAGTGGTAAGATTTAAATTCCCACAAACTTTAAGCTTAGTAACTGGTCCTTTTAACAACGACTACTATTTAAGAAGCTTACTATCTGTCATCTAAATATCAACCTTAGAACTTAAGGTTCCACTCAAATCATGAGAAGTCAGTACAGTAAGCTTTTGTTCATTACTTATTTTTAAAGCTTCAGGTGATAATAAAGCCACTGCCCCAAAGACTCTTAGGCAGTGGGGCCACCCGCGTGAAATTACATCTAATTCTCTGCTTAGATCAGCAATAGGTTGCTGGTGAGGCCCTCGGGGATGGGCCAAAACTCCCAAGGCCATACCTTCTCTTTCAGTAACAAACAAATTCTGACCCTGTGGGCAAGCTCAGAGTGGGAGCTTGCAGGAGAGCAGTCTGAAGAACCTTAAAAGCCTTTTCAGTATCTGGAGACCAAACCAGTTTGTCGGTTTGGGCCTGCTGATCTTCAGCTCTAAGTTTATCTAAAGGCCGGCAAGTTCCCCATAACCCAGAATCCAAATGCGACAGTAGCCTGTGATTCCCAAAAATCATCTCAATCGTCTTAAAGTCATAGGTAGGGGATGATTTAGTATAGGTTTCATTCTCTCGGGGCCTATGGCCCTAGTCCCTTCTGATATGATTAGGCCCAGCTCTCTGACAGATTGTTGACACAGCTGAGCCCTTCTCTTGATGCCCTGTAACCGCAGCTTGCCAGAAAGTAAGAAGTCTTCTGAGCCTCATGTACAAGCTTCCTCTCTCTCAGCACTGAGCAAAATATCATCTGCATCTTGTAACATCACTGCTTTGGAGATATTAAAGTTTTGTATGTCCCGTGACAAACTTTGTCCAAATAAGGGAGGACTGTCATGAAATCGCTGGGGCAAAACTGTCCAGGTTAACTGAGAAGCTGGCTGCATAGGGTCCTTAAAGGTGAATAGAAATTGACTTTCCTCCACCAAAGACACTGAATAGAAGGCATCTTTGAAGTCAATTACTGAGAAATATTTGGCTCGTTCAGGAATATCAGACAATAGAGTATAAGGATTAGGCACCACGGGATGTGAAGGAACTGCAGCCTCATTTATTATTTGCAAATCTTGAACTAGTCTCCAGTTACCATTTGATTTCTTTATACCCAAAATAGGAGTGTTGCATGGACTCTTACAGGAAATTAATAGTCCCTACTACTTTAAATTCTCGATGATGGGTTTTAACCCTTCCTTAGCCTCAGGTTTCAGTGGATACTGCTTCTTATGTGGAAATAAGTGTTGGTCTTTGACCTTGACAACTATAGGAATAGCATTTCATACTCGACCCACAGATTTTCCATCAGCCCACACACTAGGATTTACATTTTGTTCAATTAAAGGGAGAGAAAGGGAGGGCTCCAGATTCAAGAAAACAGAGGCAGAGAACTTGCTCAGTATATCCCTCCCCTAAAGGGGTGAGGGAGACTCTGGCACAATCAGAAACTCGTGTGAAAATAGCTCAGAGTCCCAGTCACAACTTACAGAAAAACTGACATAATACCTTATAGATCGTCCAGACAGTTCCATTACAGATGCGGATTAGGAAGAAAGTGGGCCAGGGGCTTCAGTAAGCACAGAGTAAGTTGTCCCAGTGTCTAAAAGGAAATCAATGGATTGGGCTGCCACAGTTATTAATACGCTCAGGGGTTCCTCAGGTGTAATTAGGATGGGAGCTTGTGTGGGGACCCCCGTGCACCCTCAGTCCTGATGGTCTTGAGAGTCCTACTGCTGGAGACCTACGCCTCTGGGGGCAGGCCGCCTCCAGTGTGGTCCCTTGCAGACCAGGCATGGAGCCGGGGCGGCCTAGATGCCTGAGGGTAATCCAGCTTGAGGTGGCCCTCCTTTCCACAGTAATAGCAAGCCCATCCCTTTCACCCGGGCTCCTCTGGGCAATTTTCTCAGGCTGTTTCAGACCTGTTCTGACAGCCATTGCGAGGGCTTCCGCCTGTTCCTCGGTCTTTTTCTGCCTTTCTTTCTTTCCCTCAAGTTCCCTATCATGAGAGACTATCTGCGCCAGCAGCAACAGATTATCTAAAGACTGATTTGGTCCATATGCCTGTTTTAATAGCTTACGGCGGATCTGGAGCTGACTGAGTCAGAAAATGTCTTTTAAGATCACTCTTCCCTCTTCACCTTCAGGTCAATCTCAGTGAACCTGTGAAGGGCTTCTCTCAGTATACCTAGGAATTTACCAGGAGCTTGCTTCTCCTCTTCTTCTATGTTCGCCAATTTGCCACAGTTTAATGTCTTAGCAGGCGCTTGCCTGAGTCCTTCAACGATACATCTGACAAAATGACTCTGATCCCATCTTCCTCTGGCCGTGTTATGGTCCCAGTCTGGTTCTATAGTTGGCACCACCTGATTCCCAGTGGGGAAGGTTGGTATCTCGTCTTCCTTCTTCCCCACTGATTCATTACCAAGCCATTCATCTCCATAAGCAACCGCTTTTCCCAATACTCAACTTTTTGAGTCGCGAGTCACGTTTGTCCCAAGGTATACATCACACCTTCCAAGTAAGGTCATAAAGCAGAGTAACACCTTTAAAAGCTCTAATATATTTTTCCAGGTCCTCTAAATAGTCTCCTGGATCCTCCTTGATTCTTTGTATTTCTTGATAAGAAAGAGTCTTGCTAACTCTCATAGACTGGTTATTTCTCCCGGTGGGTGCTTCATGAAGAGACAACAGCTTCTGAGACTGCTCCTCAGCCTCTCTGGCTGCTCTGCACACATGAGTCCAGGGATGCACTGGAGAAACCTGCTTTTCTTTATCTCTTTGTCTCCTGTCCTCCATCGCACCTCTTACTTTGACGGTCTGAGTTTCTATTGAAACCAGAGTAGTCTGAGGTTGTGTTGTTTGGACCTCTTCTTGGGCAGTTGGAATCTCAGTTTGGTTTCTACTGAGACCAAGGCAACCCTTCTTGGGGGGTTCTCTGACTTTCAGGTTGCTCAGTTGGGAGCCCCGGGTATGGGGGCAAAGTATGAGGACAGAGGTAGCTGAAGGTTTCACACCCAAATCTATACTCTTAGGACACAAGGCATAGTTGGCAGAGAGAAAAAGGGCAAAACATATGCTACTTCTACCCATTTCCCTTGATTCTTACAGAACTGGTCTAACTGTAAAACAGTATTGTACTTAAGAGACCCTCTGACCGGCCACCGTTCACCCTCATCCAATGGATACCGTGGCCATACACTGTCACATAGGAAGACCAGCTCTGTCTTCTTTAAGCTCTAGGGATCAAATCTATCCCAGTTTTTCCAGATACAGTCCAAAGGAGTGAAGCTGGAATTGTAGCTCCCATCTGTAAAAGAGAATAAAAGTGACCAGTGCCATCTTTCTACCAGAGGCATCCCTCCCTGCTCCTGATGGGGGTGTAGACAGACTTTACACCAAAGCTTTCCTTCCCTGGTTGGACTTAGTCTGTCCCTTACCGAGGCAGATGCTGTACTCGTCTCTCCCGGTTCTACCGAGACGGGGTGGAGATGCTTCAGGGGCACACCTGATGGCATCCCAGACTGATGTCCAGCTCCTCACCATTAAAACCTTGCTTGCGTCTAAACCAGACAAAGATGCCACAAAAAAAGAAAACTACAGGTCAATATCACTGATGAACATAGATGCAAAAATCCTTAACAAAATTCTAGCAAACAGAATCCAACAACATATTAAAAAAATCATACACCATGACCAAGTGCGCTTTATCCCAGGAATGCAAGGATTCATTAATATCCACAAATCAATCAATGTGATACACCACATTAACAAATTGAAAGATAAAAACCATATGATTATCTCAATAGATGCAGAAAAAGCCTTTGACAAAATTCAACATCCATTTATGATTAAAACTCTCCAGAAAGCAGGAATAGAAGGAACATACCTAAACATTATAAAAGCTATATATGACAAACCCACAGCAAGCATTACCCTCAATGGTGAAAAATTGAAAGCATTTCCCCTGTAATCAGGAACAAGACAAGGGTGCCCACTCTCACCACTACTATTCAACACAGTTTTGGAAGTGTTGGCCACAGCCATCAGGGCAGAAAAAGAAGTAAAAGGAATCCAGATAGGAAAAGAAGAAGTGAAACTCGCTGTTTGCAGATGACATGATCCTCTACATAGAAAACCCTAAAGACTCTACCAGAAAATTACTAGAGCTAATCAAAAAATATAGTAAAGTTTCAGGATATAAAATTAACACACAGAAATCTCTTGCATTCCTATACACTAACAATGAGAAAACAGAAAGAGAAATTAAGGAAACAATACCATTCACCATTGCAACAAAAAGAATAAAATACTTAGGAGTATATCTACCTAAAGAAACAAAAGACTTATACATAGAAAACTATAAAACACTGATGAAAGAAGTCAAAGAGGACACAAACAGATGGAGAAATATACCGTGCTCATGGATTGGAAGAATCAATATTGTCAAAATGGCTATACTACCCAAAGCAATCTATAGATTCAACGCAATCCCTATCAAGCCACCAACAGTATTTTTCACAGAACCAGAACAAATAATTTCACAATTTCTATGGAAATACAGAAAACCTCGAATAGCCAAAGTAATCTTGAGAAAGAAGAATGGAACTGGAGGAATCAACCTGCCTGACTTCAGACTGTACTACAAAGCCACAGTCATCAAGACAGTATGGTACTGACACAAAGACAGAAATATGGATCAATGGAACAGAATAGAAAGCCCAGAGATAAATCCACGAACCTATGGACAACTTATCTTCGACAAAGGAGGCAAGGATATACAATGGAGAAAAGACAATCTCTTTAACAAGTGGTGCTGGGAAAACTGGTCAACCACTTGTAAAAGAATGAAACTAGAACACTTTCTAACACCATACACAAAAATATACTCAAAATGGATTAAAGATCTAAATGTAAGAACAGAAACTATAAAACTCCTAGAGGAGAACATAGGCAAAACACTCTCCGACATAAATCACAGCAGGATCCTCTATGACCCACATCCCAGAATATTAGAAACAAAAGCAAAAATAAACAAATGGGACCTAATGAAACTTAAAAGCTTTTGCACAACAAAGGAAACTATAAGCAAGGTGAAATGACAGCCCTCAGATTCGGAGAAAATAATAGCAAACGAAGCAACAGACAAAGGATTAATCTCAAAAATATACAAGGAACTCCTCCAGCTCAACTCCAGAAAAATAAATGACCCAATCC